AAGTAAAAAGGAAAATACTCTTAAAAATCTCTCATTATTCTGACCTTTAGCAAACACATTGTTGTTATAATCAGAATTGACTCAAAACAGGAAAATTAGTCTGATATAAAGTCAGTGGAGAAAAAAAAGGTTATCTGTGTATTTATTAGTGCTGTCAATCAATTAAAAAAAATATTCAGATTAATCACACTCTGGCGCTATAATAAATCATGATTAATTACCATGCCTAACATTTAAGCTTCATATATAAATATGCTGGCAGTTATGGATCTTGAATGGTGCCCTGGGCAAGCCCATCCTCTTGCCGCACTCCAACCGATTAAAATGCAAGCAATTATGTATTTGTTTTTTTGTAGCAGAAGGCAGCAAGTACTGTAGTCTCCCACTACTCGATAGCAACTTACTCTACACATGCATACAAGTAGTTGTAAGCCTATTTGGGGGACAACTGACAGATTTTATTTTCTAATTCTTGAGTGCCCTCCACCCCTTTCTGATGACACCCTGGGAAACTGCCCATATAGCCCATATCAAAAACTGCCGTTGTATTCATATTCTGACAAAAAATTTGAAAATATGTATTTTATTGCCTCAAACCAAACATGTTTCTATTCATTACCTATTGAACTGGTGCGATGAGTTACATTTTTTTGATTAGTTATTTTTTGATGAGTTATTGTTGACAGCCCTGGTTTTTTACAATATATACAACTGAAACCAGTTGGCAGATGGAGTTACTCATTAAACTACAGCTGACTGATGGATAATCATTAATCTGGCCTCTGGCCAGATGACTGGCCAGAGGCCAGTAGTCAGTACTGTAGTCAGTAGTTCTTGAAGTTTCAGTCGATGGCCAATATTCAAAATTTGGCAAATATCAGTCAATCTGTTGGGTGAGACAAAATGTTTGTGAAATCTTAGATCCCTTGGATGCTTAGTATCCAGGGAAATCAAGAACACAGTGATGGACAGACAGACAGAGGACATGACAGGGAGACAGTACTTGTTCTTCTTGTTCTGCTCTCTCTGTGAAATCCACTTGTGGTAGAATGAAGTCTTGACTCTGTAGCAGTAGAAGAGCAGCAACACTGCAGGAAGGACCACCAGGAACGCAAACAGCAGACCCACCACCAAACCCACCTGATCTGTGAACACACACACGCGCACACACACCTACATGTTTGTGTTGCTATCTTTGTGGGGATTTTCCATTGACTTCCATTCATTTCTACAGCCTAAACATTACCTTTACCCTTTTCCTAACCCTAACCATCACATACCTAACCCTAACCCTAACCAAAACTCAATTCATACCTTAGCCCTAAATCTGACCCCTGACTCAAAAACAGGGTTTCCCCTCGTGGGGACAAGGAGCGATTGGTCCCCACAACGTAGTATATGTCAGAAAAATCGTCCCCACAAGGTATTACAAACAAACGCGCGCGCACACACACACACACACACACACACACACACACACACACACACACACACACACACACACACACACACACACACACACAGAGACTGAATGAAAACAAATCCAGGAAATGGACACACCTCCGTAACAAGAAACACATCTCTGTGTGTAGAAGGATCCACTCTGATCAAAGACTTCTGATTATATTGTTTGCATGTGCAAATGAGTTTAATTTAGTTAATGCCAGTGATATCTGAAGCTGGTTTGGGAAGACATATATGAGTTAAAGAAAGAGCAACATTGTACTTAAGGTACAAGAAAATTAATTTAAGGTATTTGCTTTCTTACAGATTTCTTCTGACTTTGTTCATTTGTCAGAGCTGGACATTATATGTAATCCCAGGGTTGACTGGTCATTTGAAATGCTTAAATGGGATAAAATCAGAAACAGAATACCTCAGTATTTACTCACTATTGTTTTGCACAGGTCCACTGTCCACACTGCCGCCCAGGCCAGGCTTCTCACAGAAGGGAGGAGCCCAGCCTCTGTCACAGTGGCAGTTCCCATTGCTGTTACACACCTACAGAACACATCAGAAAGGTTTGGTTAAAGTTGTTTACTGTTTAGACTTTGCATTTTTATGTCTGTGGAGCAAAATACAGTCTAAATACAGGAGATTGCTTTTGGAACAGTTTCAGGATTAGTGATTGACTGAAGCTCAATGTACGTGTGAGGAATTCATGCTAGTGTGTTCTCATCTATACCACTCACATAAAGTCATTACTGACTTGTTTGTGTCCTAATAATATATCTGGGGAGGTAATTTTTCTGGCTAAATTTGTTTACTATAAATAAGAATACCTCAGAAGAGAGATGCAAAAATGCAGGTCACATTTGGAAATATGTTCTTTGTATAACATAGTCATTATCACAGAACTGTCATTTTACGATTGAGGAATGAGTGGAAATTGACAAGGAAGCAAAGGAGCTACTCAGAGGGAAGTGGGAACAGTTGTGGGAGAGCGGAGGTAGAGAAGAATGAGGCGATGTAGATAACAGCTGTGCTGCGGAGTGTGACAGATGAACAGAGCAGAACAACTACAACTGTTATATTTCTTTAGATTTGTTTGATGTTTATCATCAAACAAATCTAAAGAAATAAGTCCAAACTATAATAAGAAATGCAAGAACTAGCAAAAAGGAACAAACTAAAACAATAAGCTCTAGTAATAAAAAAACAAACAAATCATGTGAACAATCTTTTTGTGAAGCTGTAGGCAGAAAGTAGAACAATGCTCAATGTGTGGAAATGAGTTTCGACATTTGAAAAATTTCAAACCTGGAGCTCAACTGATCAGAATATTAACACATTGATTGGTTTCAGTGGCCCAAGGCAGTCTCTAATGAAGCTGCTGCTGTCATTGTGGATTTATTACAATACAACAGAGCATGTTTTTCCATTCTCTTCTTAATAAAATGGAAATGAAAATGAACAAATAAGAAAATCAGTCTTATTAAATCGGTCAAATTTAATCGGTAGTAATTTGATTTTGATGTATGTTTTTTTTACTGGCTACAGCTGGATTGGATTTCTGACTTTTGTTCATCAGATTTTTTTTTCACTCTTTCCCTTTACTTTGTTACAAAAACAAGGCCTGACGCCCTGAACTACTTTAATATCAGACGTGAAAATAAATGTAAGAGTTCAGTGCAGAGTTATTCATATCCCTAACTGTTTTAGATTTGAAGTTTATTTGACCAAGAAGTTTGTCTCTGATTGGAAAGCACACAGTCTCTGAAAAGATCATTTAAAAAATCTCAGTTATTTTTTAAAGTTTGACCAAAAAGTGACACATCAACAAGTATTTACAGATTTTTTGATGATCAGTTGAAAAATTGTTTTTGACGTTAAAGGAACCTAACCCTTCTTCTGATTGCTTGTACCTTTCAGCAGGCTTCCTCTAATAAAGTGTTTCTCAACCTTTTTTG